GCCACGGCAACTTTCCCTTCCCCTCCCACGCTCTTGGAAGATGCCCGACCCTCCTCCCCCGACTCCATCACCCCTCCACATCTCCTCCATCCATCCCCCTCACATCCCATGCACGCTCGTGTCCAGTGGCCTCCCTCCAGCGCTTGCGCCGCCGCCATACAGCTGATCAGCGGCACGCAAGCCTGGGAGGGAGGAGGAATGTGGGCGGCTTGCTTGGGGAAGAGGCGGGGCCAGGGCAGGGATCCAATGGGAGAAGGAGGGGCGGAGTCGGGGCGGGGGGGCGCGAGCGCTGGAGAGGAGGGCAAAATTGCTTTTTTGTCCAGCGTCCCGACCGAACATCAGTCGGGACGCTGGACAAACAAGCAAATATCGGAACAGTCCCGATAAAATCGGGACGTCTGGTCACCCTATGCCAGGCAGTCTGGGGAGCTTCGGAAACTATACGAACAAATCAGAACAAAATGTCATTTTGACTTTTTCTGAACAAAATTTCGGAATTGCCGTTCCACAGGAAATTTCACAGTTTCAATTGTTTTGGTTACATTTTGGAATTAATTTTTATGGTGAGAATTTTCAGGATTTCCTACAGAATAGGAATTCCAGTTTCCAGCCAGCTCTATAAGAATATATTTAACGAGAGCTGAGAGTCACACCTTCTTGTTAACTGTTTGAAAGCCACCCTGATTACCACTACAAAAGTGATTTTTCATCCTGTTGATAATAGCCCACTTTAACTGATTTGTCTCAACACCGCACTTGGTAAGGCAACTCCCATCTTTTCATGTACTGCTATATATATCTTCCTACTGTATTTTCCACTCCATGTAGCTGATGAAGTGGGTTTCAGCCCATGAAAGCTTATGCTCAAATAAAATTGTTAGTCTATAAGGTGCCACAAGGACTCCTTGTTATTTTCACCTAATGAGCTGACTCAGGGAGCTGGGACTTTAAGAAAAATGACTAAAAAGTCACAAGGCTCATAGAATGTCAGGGTTGGAAGGGACCTCAGTAGGTCATCTAGTCCAACCCCCTGCTCAAAGCAGCATCAATCCCCAGACAGATTTTTGCCCCAGATCCCTAAATGGCCTCCTCAAGGATTGAACTCACAATCCTGTGTTTAGCAGGCCAATACTCAAACCACTGAGCTAACCCTCCCAATATATGCTAACATCGTGAGAACTGGCAACACTGAATTTGGGAAACATTGGCTTAGCCCTTAGGATCTGCAGCAATAATCTGTCGTGCGTGGCATCTGGGCTGTCTACAGGCCTAGTGCTCACCTGGGCTAAAGTAGCCTAGAGATGAAAATCCAGTGTTATTTCTGTGGAAATTCGAATAAGCCAATTTCGTCTGAAATTTGTCACAGGAATTTTCTATTTTTGATGGAAAAGACACACACAAAAAATATTGGTTTTGTTTTCTTTTTCTTTTTTCATACCTGCCACCCCCCAAAAAAAATGGCATCAAAAATCAACTAAGAGACTTCTCTGTTCCTAATCTACTGCCCATGCAGGTGAATGGGGTCAAAATAAAATCCCTAAACTACAACTTCCACAATGTACCCTGGCACCATCAAACTGACTCCAACTGAATCCCTGCGATTCAGTTCAACAAACAGAGATGAATCATTTTGTTCTGGGAACGTCAAAACATTTATTTCTCCCGGAAAATGTCAATATTTTGATCTTTCAGGACAAACGGTTGAAAGATCAGAATTTCCCATGGGAGGTGAAATTAGGATTTTCACAAAGTTCTAGCTCTAACTGTGACAGATTTGGCAATTTTCTGCACTATCTTTGGGAGATCTTACTTTGTGTATCATTGCAGGCCACAGATTGCATGTAATTCTGTGGGGGAGGGTGACCACAGCTCCCCCAGGAACTAAGAAAAGTAGCGGGGGGTGATGTGGTGCCTGCCCCACACTGAGCTCTAAGGGGTTAATAGAGCCCTAGAGAGGCTGTGCAGGAGGCAGCCAATAAGAGAAGGGCTGAAGGGACCAGCCAATCAGAGCTAAGCAGGCCCATATAAAAGGGGAGCTGTAGGGCAGAGGAAGGCAGTTTTCTGCTGGGAGCCCAGGGAGGAAGGACTGTGTCTCTGGAGGGCTGAAAGAACTGCCAGCACTCTGGACAGAGCAGTGATGCTAGCAGGGACTGGGCGAGTGACAGACAGCTCCTGGCTGGCTGCTGGGGTTTGCAGGCTGAGGCCCTGAGGCAAGGGTAAAGAGGATACTGGGGCCACCAGGAAGTGGCCAGACAAGTTACTGCAGTCGCCACTAAGGGAAGTGGCTGAACAGCAGACTGCAGGTCCCCCAGAAGGGGGAGCACAGTGTGGGGCATGGCTGGAGGGCTGTGTCGCTGAAGAGGACACCGTGGTCCTTGGAGAGACATGGGTCCTAGAGCAGGAGTGAGGCAGCGAGGCACCACCTGAAGAGGGTACCCTAACATGCAGAGCTAATTCCCAAGACAACCATCAGGAGGTGCCAGAGTGGTGAGTGAACCCCCATTACAGGGGGTGATTAGGCAAATTCATTCAGATTGTAACACCTCCAGAGAGGTACCACCACATGGGGAGGCTCCAGATACTAGTTCAAACTGGATTCTCCAGAGACCAACAGGCAAAGAAAGGACTGGAGGATAAACAGTCTGAGTTTCAACTAGCTCAGGACCTTCTTTCTGATTCAGCAAACGGACGAGACTTTCTGTCAAAGAAGGGTTGGAAGGACTTTGGCCGACTGATGTCCCATAAGCCTGACAGGTGACTGGAAAGCTTTCTGCACGCTGTCCTAAGGTTTACAAACCCTGGGCAGGACACAGGCAGAAGAGAGGAGAGAGCCTTCCTTGCTCCCAGGCAACCAGGCTGAACCTCACCCCAGTACCACTGCCAGAACTGCCACTCATGGAGACAAGAAACCCACAGCTGGGCCCCATAAGGAAAACAAGCCCAGCTATGAAAGAACAGAGAGGCCAAAAGGTCTGCAATGATGAAGAGGAAACAGCTCCAGGTCAAGCTGACTCCAGGGAACGGATAGGGGGATACAGGAAGGCGGCAGGCCCTGGAGCCTAAGGGCTGATTGGTTCATTTCATGTTAAAATGATGGGCTGAGTCCATTCAAGTTGAATAGAGGAAAGTTGGGCACAGAAAAGGGGTGTACACAGAACAGCTGACACATGCATATAGGAACTCGTGTTGGTTTGATATGTCTCTCTCTGTAATGCTTTCACCTTACCAATAAATGTACTTGCTTGTAAGGAGCTAGCTGGTAACATGTGACTGCTGGCAATTACAGCTGTTCATAGCCCTCGGAGAGAAAACAAAGCACAGATGCTGGCCTGGTTAGATAGTCTGGCGAGCTGGGGATATCACAGTGTAGGCAGGGAACAGAGCAGCCTGGAAATACCCCGGTCAGGAAGGAGAGAGATGCGAGTCTCTGCCCAAGAGAGGTGGTGGCTGAGGAGCTGGGAGGCTAGAGCAGGTGCTCTTGAGGGACCATGGAGGGGGAATCTAGGTGCAGTTGCCCTGAAGTGTGACAATAACCTTCTCTGTAATTGTTGAGAAAGCAAATGAAGGGGAGTTGACAAACTGAGTCTGCAAAGAGTTTTCACAGGAGAAAATTCATGGCTAACAGTTTTATTGAGTACATGCTTTGGGAATGTGTGTAGACAGGACAACCCTGACTGACCTGGCCCAGCCACTGGTAGGCTTACACAATGTAAGGCGTTTGCACTGCGTCCCATCACCATTATTAATGATTTGTATTATGCTAGTGCCTAGGAACTTCAGTCATGGAGCAGGATCCCACTGTGCAAGGGGCTGTACAAACACAGAACAAAAACTAGTCCCTGCCCTGTAGCACCTTCCATGGCAAGCAGATGACTTATGAGGGAAGATTGAAAAAAATTGGGTTTGTTTAGTCTGGAGAAGAGAAGACTGAGGGGACATAATGTTTTCAAGTACATAAAAGGTTGTTACAAGGAGGAGGGGGGAATTGTTTTTCTTAATCTCTGAGGCTAGGACAAGAAGTAACGGGCTTAAAATGCAGCAAGGGAGGTTTAAGTTGGACATTAGGAAAAACTTCCTGTCAGGGTGGCTAAGCACTGGAATAAATTGCCTAGGGAGAGTGTGGAATCTCCAGCATTGGAGATTTTTAAGAGCGGGTTAGACAAACACCTGTCAGGGATGGTCTAGATAATACTTAGTCCTGCCATGAGTGCAGGGGCTGGACTAGATGACCTCTCGAGGTCCCTTCCAGTTCTATGATTCTATGAGCCATAGTGAAGGCTGTTTTTTTGGAAAATGCTGATTTGACAAAATCAAAACGTTTCACAGGGCCATAGTGATTTCATCCCCATTTTCTACAGGAAGTTATCAAAACGTTTCATTGTGATCAGAGCCAAACGTTTCATTTTGAATTTTGTTAGACTATACTATAGCATCTAATTTAGTAATAAAAAGTTGACTGTTATAGTTATTATTATAGTCAGTGTGCTCTTGTTGCCAAGAAGGCTAACGGCATATTGGGCTGCATTAGTAGGATCATTGCCAGCAGATCGAGGGAAGTGATTATTCCCCTCTATTCGGCACTGGTGAGGCCACACCTGGAGTACTGTGTCCAGTTTTGGTCCCCCCACTACAGAAGGGATGTGGACAAATTGGAGAGAGTCCAGCGGAGGCCAACGGAAATTATTAGGGGGGTGGGGCACACGGCTTACGAGGAGAAGCTGAGGGAACTGGGGTTATTTAGTCTGCAGAAGAGAAGAATGAGGGGGAATTTGATAGCAGCCTTCAACTACCTGAAGGGGGTTCCAAAGAAGATGGAGCTCGGCTGTTCTCAGTGGTGGCAGATGACAGAACAAGGAGTAATGGTCTCAAGTTGCAATGGGGGAGGTCTAGGTGGGATATTAGGAAACACTATTTCACTAGGAGGGTGGTGAAGCACTGGAATGGGTTCCCTAGGGAGGGGGTGGAATCTCCTTCCTTAGAGGTTTTTAAGGTCAGGCTTGAGAAAGCCCTGGCTGGGATGATTTAGTTGGGAATTGGTCCTGCTTTGGGCAGGGGGTTGAACTAGATGACCTCCTGAGGTCACTTCCAACCCTAATATTCTATGATTCTAACTTCTAACAAAAGTTGATATAATAAAATTTGTCAACCTCATACAAACAAAATGTTTCTACAAGGCTGAAACAAAACATTTTCGAATGTTCCTGTTCAAGAAAAAATCCCCAAGATTTTGGCTTTTCATTCTGCTTCAAGTTTCAAAATCTCAGAATTTCCCACAGGAGGGAAAGTCCATTTCTCAACCAACTCTGATCCCAAGTGAATGTCTGGGGTTAAACTCGTACTGATCCTCCAAGGGTGGCTAGCCCGAAGCCCTAGTCAGGAACTAACCAAGGGAATTTTCATTGCATGCTACATATTAACAAGACTGAAAGTCATTCCTCCGCTGATCTTAAAACACATTAGAGAGCTGGGTAAATATGAAAATAACCCTTTAGGAGAAATGGGGATAAAACAGGGCACAAAGAGTTGGAGTGACTCTCCTACGTGAGGAAGTGGTAAAGTGGGGAAGGAAGCGAACCCAGGGGTCCTGAATCCCACTTTCCTGCACTAACCACCTACCCCCATTGCCTCTTAGGGCTGACATTAGCACCCTAGAGTCCTGATTGTCAGTCTACCTACCCTAACCTCAGACTGCACTCCTGCCTCTACACTGTAGCCTGGACTCTGCTTCCATACTGTTCATTACAGTGATATGAAAGCTAAGGACACATTTAACTTTTGCTAAATTAATTGTGGGGTCACAGAACTTTACTTCATTTTCACCTCCCACCCACCCCCAATTAGAAATGACTGGCTTGATTCTGACATACTGTACTCTGGCTTTACTGCAATTTCAGAGAGGTTACTCCTGGTTTACAATGCCTTGCCAGATCCTCACTTCTTATTTTCCACACTAGTAATCACTAGCTCTTACATCAGTAGATCTCAAATTCTTTACAAAGGAGGTCAGCATCATTATTCCCATTCTACAGGTGGGGAAACTGAGGTACCTGGAGGGGAAGTGATTTGCCCATGGTCATGCAGCAGCAGAGCTGGGAATAAAACTCTAGTCTTCAATCCACTAGGCCACACAGCCCAGTGACTTATGTGGAGTTTTCCCCCAATTTGCCGCAGCTGAGGTTCTGGCCCAGAATATTTACAGCTTCTGGTTTGCAACAGAGTTACACCCCATTTACAATGGAGTATTTACAGTAAAATCACATCCAGTTTACAATAAACCATTTAGTTATAATGGGGTTACCCCAGGTTATAACAATATATGTACAAGAGTTACTCCTGGTTCACACCAGCATTACTCCTGGTATAAAGTAGATTTACCCTTGGTTTACAACCGAGTATTGACATCTGTTACACTCCTGGTTTTCAGTGGTGTATTTACAACAGAGTTATGACCAGTTTACAATGAAATATCTATTTATAATGGAATTACCCAGTTTATGATGACATATTTACGATGGACTTACTTTTGGTTTACAGTGAAGTATTTACAACAGAGTTACTCCTGGTATACAACACACTCACCCTTGATTTGCACCAGCGTCAGTGACAACAGAACCAGCTCTGATATTTGACATTTAAATAGCAAAGTAACAAATGCAGCAGAAACTTTAGAAATTCAATCATGGATTTTATATCCAGCTCCGGAATGAAATTCTGACATCAGGTAGGAAGCTCGAGGGATTTCCAGGGGATGCTGGAGTCCTGTCTGCACCTGGCACTGGATTTTGGTCCCTTGCCTCACAGAAGGTGTTTCAATCTTTCTCTCTCCTCCTTTCTGGCTCACTTCTTAGCATCCAAGTTGAAGGCTTTAATAAGCACCTTCTGGGCATCAGCAGCTATCGCATTCACAAAGCTCCTCAGCATCTTGTACGTGGTGGCAAAAGACAATGCTCCGGATGCAAGCGAACCCAGGAGCGGGACAGAGCTCAGCACCTCATTGGCTAGCTTAGGTGCCTCGCTGCCTGCCTGTATCAACAGCTGCACCACCAGGATATTGGAGATCTCCTTGGCCAATGGTGACTCGATCACGGCCTTCATCTGCTCCACCGGCTGCCCCATTTGTGCCGCCAGCTTCTCCAGAGAGTCATCATCCAGGCCGAAGCCCTTGCAGTAACCTTGCAGGGTCCTGGCCAGGACGTCCACATCGCAGGAGATCAGGAGTCCTGGGATGGGCGCGGCGTGGACACCGCAGGCCACGATGGAGACCAACCACATGTGCTCCAACATTGCTGCCTTTTTCTTCTCCAGGATGTGCAGGGAGATGTTGGGCAGGGCCATCAGGAAGGCGTGCCGCTTGTGGTGGCTCAGCTCCCTCTCCAGCGTCTCCCCCAGGAGATGGAAGTCATACTTGCTGAGATCAAAAGCCGAGAGGAGGAAGACCTGGGGCAAGCGGATGCCTTGGGCCTGCAGACCCTCCAGGCAGTTCTGCCGGATCTCCTGCAGCACCCCCACCTCGCTGTAGCTGGATGGCCGGCGCCTGAGGGAGGAATCCAGGTCCATGTCCACCTTGGAGCGGACGAAGTAGAAACTCTTGTCCATGGCCTGGATGTGGCGGGCCAGAGCAGCATGGTTGGCAGTAAAGCGCTGCGAGGCGATGATGAAGAAGATGTCGTAGCGCGAGAAGCCGACCTGCTCCAGGTAGGTATCGGGGTGGAAATCGGGTGTGCCGATCCCCGGCAGGTCCCAGATGGTCACGTTGGGGTACCGGGGATGCTGGTATGGAGTCGGCTCCCTGGTGGTCTCCACCACACCGGTGCGGGCGGCACCTGCATCCTCATCGCCCAAGCCCCGGAGAGCATTGACGAAGGACGACTTCCCAGAGCCGGTCTCGCCCGTGATGCCGACATCCAGCTGGACGCTCTCCAGCGACTCCAGCATCTCCTGCAGCCTGGAGGCCACTCCAGCGAGGTTCCCCTCCTCAAAGGCAGCTTTCAGGGCCTCCAGCTCCTCCCTCGACAGCTTGATGATGTCCTCACTGCTCTGTGAGGCCATGTTGGCTCCGGCAAGCTGCTGCAGCCCCTGCCTTACAGAGGGAAAGGCCAGTTCTTGTGTGAGTTCCTGAGAATGCTGAACCGCTGAAACCCTCATCTAGGTCTTTGTCTCTGGGCAGCTCTTCCCGGAGACCCAGCCCCATCCCAGCCTTCATCTTCTCTGGCCTGGCGTATGGCAGCTCCTGCCCCTCTGGCTTCCCAAAGCATTAGACACCAGTGTGGGCTGGCTGGGAGGGAGAATATGGGCTTGACCCAAGAGCAGAAGTGGAGATGAAGGGTGGGAGATAATAGGAGTAGGGCCTTATCAAATTCATGGGCATGAAAAATGTGTCATTGACCATGACATCTGCTCTCCCCCCTTCTGAAATCTGGTCTTTTGTGTCCTTGTACCCTATACTATACAGATGTCACAGGGGAGACCTCCAACTGGAGGTTCCGACCCAAAAGGGCATTGTGGGGAGGGGGGTTGCAAGGCTATTGTAGAGGGGTCGCAGTATTGCCACCTTTACATCTACACTGCCTTCAGAGCTGGGTGGCTGGAGAGCAGTGACTGCTGACAAGGCACCCAACTCTGAAGACATTGCCCCACCAGCAGCACAGAAGTAAGGGGGCAATACTGCACCAAGCCATCCTTCTGTGCTGCAGCTGGCCTTCCTTCTGTGGTGCAGCACTGCCTTCAGAGCTGGGTGCCCGGCCAGCAGCCACGGCTCTCCGGCTGCCCAGCTCTGAAGGCAGCATTGCCATCAGCAGCAGAAGGGTGCAGCCCACTCCTACAATAGCCTTGCAACACCCCCCCCCCCACAACCTCCTTTTGGGGTCAGGACCCCCATGGTTACACCACCACGAAATTTCAGGTGTAAATATCTGAAACTGTGAAATTTGATTTTTAAAATCCTATGACCGTGAATTTGGCAGGGCCTCCTACGTGTGAGGTAATGAGCAATTAGGAACCTTTCACCAAGACCAGCTCCACAGAACCGGGCAGGATCATCAAGGAAAAAGTTGGTGACTCCCAGGGGGTCTGAAATATAAAAGCCGAGAGTCGGACTGAGGGACGATTTCTTACTCTGACAGTTACAGTGCTGAAGGCAAGAGTTCAGCCACTCTAACCACTAGACCCCACTCCCCTCCCAGAGCTCAGTATAGACCCAGGAGTCCAGCATCCCAGAGCCCTGTGATCTAACCACTAGGCCCCCAGTCCCCTCCCAGAGCTGTATATAGAACCCAAGTGTCCTCACTCCTAGCCCCTCAATTCCCTCACCCACCTGCCCTCCCGAGGAAGCTCTGGGTGCAGAGATGGTTCTGGCTGGGGTTGTTTAATATACCAGGGAACCAGCTTCTGCCCGCACCTCAGAGCAGGTTACTCCCATTCACACCGGGCTGGCCTCTGTCCCCGGCTCTGCCCCAGGGTCCCCCAGCATCTTTTCCCCAGGTATGTCTTCAGCACCATCCATGACTGCCATGGAAACGTGATCACATCTTGTAGCCACATGCTGATTGGCTGGCTGAGCATTCTTATGTGATGTCAGCGGCCATGTGGTGATCCACTGTGTTCATTGCTCATTTGCATCCAGGGGCTCAGTGACGGCTGTGGAAAAATGTCCCATGCAGGATGGGGCTAAGCAGTTGCTCTGGGCTGGGGTGCCCATCCCCACTGGCTCTGCATGTCTGGGACTGTTCCTCAGAGCAGACCAGGAATGAAGCACTTTATTAGAGACTTTCCAAAGGGAAAATGAGTCCACAAGAGAAGATCCTGACTGCAATCCCCTTGGGGCCTGATGCTCTCCACCAGTCTGACCCTCGGTGCCCACTGGCAAAGGGCCCACTCTCCAGTAATTCACCCTAGGCCTGACAGTCACTATCCCCAATACGTATCTAAAAGATGTCATGGAATGTATCATCCATAAACAGGTGACAGGCTGGTCCTGAAAATCATGTGATGCATGCACAGTGTGGATATAAAGAATATGTTCTTACGCTGTGTTTGGGAGGCAGTGCCTATCGCAAGGCTGCCCCAGACCAAGGAATGGGGGTTCCCCTCTCTGAGCGGCTTGATGACAGGCAGAGCCCAATGAAAGGACATTTACATATAAGATAAACAAAGCCATCAAGCAGCAGAGAAAACTACTTAGTGAGCTCTCTACATGTCTGAGTTTGTGCCCCCTCCCCTAAAGGCTTCCTGGCTCTTGAGACAAAGACAAGAGACTGGAAAATCTATAGGAGGCAGAAAGCCATCTTGGTTATCCATCACTCGGAGGACAGAAGGATGGCACTTCCGAGCCTGTGAACGGCAGATCCTTTTCCTCTTAGCTGGAAAGGCAGAAGCTAAGTGAGAAAACTGCTTAGGCAAAGATGAAAACTTGCTAAAATTAAGTTTTAAGTAGTAGACAGTGAGCTTTGTTTGTAACCAGCTGTCTCTTTCCCTCAAATCTCCGTTCTTTGTTAAACTTCTGAGTTTTCCTATAACCATTTCTGATCTGCTCTATTGAAGCATGAAGTGAGCCCTCAGCTGGCCTACCAGGCTCATGCCCCGTCTCTTTGGAGGCAGTGAACTTAGTTTCTGGGAGCGTCCCGGGAGAGGGACTGGATGCAGAGACGTCGCTGGGGAACTGCAGGTCCCTGAATGTCACCTGCAAGGCAAGGGAAAGGTTGGCAGAGTCTCGAGGCGTTTGCTGGTGAGCCGGACAGCCTGGCGGAGCAGGGAGCTGACACACAGTCTAATCTCCAGCAAAGCTCACTCTTGCTAAGGCAGAAGGGTAACACCATGGCTTGTGGTTCTGGGTTGCCTGACCAGAATGGCACAACGGGGATGTGGGCCTTACCCTCTCAGCTCCTGCACAGGGATCCCCCAACCCCCCAGCTTCACTGCAGCCTCATGTGGATCGAAGTGGAGCCGACTTGCTCTGATTCAAGTGCCTACAGCAGTGGGAAGGCGACAGCCACAAGTCAAGCCAAGGTCTCCAGCACAGAGCTGTGTGTGAGGGTAGTGCCTAAGGGCCAGCAGAGAACAGGGCCCCGTTGTGCACCCCAAACCCCTCATCCCCCCACACCCCAACCCTCTGCTCTAGCCCCGAGCCCCCTCCCACACACCAAACTCCTCATCCCCGGCCCCACCCCAAAGCCCTCACCCCCAGACAGAGCCCACAACCCCTCCTGTGCTCCGAAGCCGTCATACCCCCCCCCCCAGAGCCCTTATCACCCCCATACTCTAATCCTCTGCCCCAGCCCTGAGCAGGGCCACCCAGAGGATTCAGGGGGCCTGGGGCAAAGCGGGGGAGCTTGTACTCACCGGGCGGCGCTCCGAGTCTGCGGTGGCGGCGGCATTTCGGCGGTGGGGGGCCCTTCAGTCGCTCCGTGTCTTCGGCAGCACTGAAGGGCCCCCCCACCGCCGAAATGCCACTGAAGACCCGGACCGCCGCTGGGTGAGGAAAGGGATTCTCGGCCAGGGCTTGCGGGGCCCGGGGCAAATTGCCTCACTTGCCCCCCTCCCCCCTCGCGGCCCTGGCCCTGAGCCCCCTCCCACACTCCAAACCCCTCGGCCCCACCCCCGCCCCACATCCCCTCCATATTGGTGCACACACATTCATTCCGTACATGGATGTAAAAAATTTGAGGGAACATGCTGGAGCTCACCGGCTACTAAGGCCACGTCTACACTTACAAGCTCACAGCGGTACAGCTGTACCAATACAGCTGTAAGATCGCTCATGTAGCCCGTTATGCTGACAGGAGCGAGCTCTCCTGTGGACATCATAAAACCAGCCCAACGCGCGGCGGTAGCTCTGTCAGCAGGAGAGCGTGACAGAGCGCTGGGCACAGGAGTGCTTATGCCGGCAAAACTTCTGTCACTCAGGGGGGTGTTTTTTCACATAAGTGCTAGTGTAGACATGGCCTGGAGGCTGCCAGAACAGTCCCAGCCAGAGACCTCAAATTCTCCTCAGCCAGGCTTCCATTAGCACCTGTGTGAACAGAGGGGTGGGGAGAGTGCTGCTAACCACAGTTCAGCAAATCATAGATGTTTTTATTTGGGGGTTGAACCAAATATTCTGGAGAAGAATCAGGTTGGAGTCAAACCAAATCCAATTCTTTAAAAAAAAAAAAAATGTTGTCCAAGTGAAAAATTCTTGCTCTGGATTAACAAACATTTTGGTTGGCTCAAGTGAAATTTGAGTTTCCTTTTCAACTCAGCCACGTTCTGGTGTTTTTTACATTTGTTTTCTAATTCAGCCATACACTCTTTCTAAATAAAAAAGAAACATTGACGTAAAAATAAAAAATAAAACTTTTTCAGCCAAAACTATTTGTTGAATTCAACCTGAATCCGTCAAGAGTAACGGTGCCCCCCCTGCTCCCCAAAATTTGCTCCCAGTTTGGATGCCAACACAGCTGTTAGATCAGTGATACTCAGACTGAGGTTCACGAGTGGCTCTTTAATGCGTCTCCTGCGGCTCTTTGCAGCACATGAAATTAAAACGCCGTGTGATGAATTAACAACCAATCGGGATGCTTTTACTATGTTAACCACCATTTGCAGTTGATAAAAATAATAATACTTGGTCAGTCATTTTGCTGGGAGAATAATATATGAAAACTAAATATTTCCCCTGTCATACTGTTTAAATATGAAGAGTACTATTGATTGCTAATTTGGCTCTTGAACCACTGAGGTCTAAGGATCACCACTGTATTAGATGCATAGAACTACTGTGCAGTCCCTCCAGTTCCACCACTGACCAGCAGAGGGCAGGAGAGCTGCAGTCCACTCCACATCCGAGCAAGCCAGCCCCACCTTCCTCCTTCCAAATGTTCGGGGAGACGGAACTCAAACCAAAGGGTTTATTTCCAGTTACAAATAGATAAAATTACAAAAGTATTTTAAAGCGATTTAAAAAGTGACTATTACATGTCTCAGGCTTTCAAGTTAAGGTCTGGTAAGGTTTCTCTTGCTGAACGGTAATAAAAAGCAGCCGCACAGTTAAATCTGTCCGGCTGTTGGAGAGGAGTCTGGCCTCCTGGAGAGCTCTTGCCATGGTGGTTACGCACTGTGACCCAACAAAGTGAAGGATTTGATTCCAGCCTCCATTATTCCTGGTAACCGATCCAGTCTGCTTTGGAGCCCCGGGAGAGAACAATACAGATTCCACGGACGAGGCACCATCTACCGCAGCCTGGCAGCGGCCCCTTTCCTGCTCCCTCCAGACGGCAGCTCTGTGGCTACAACAGGCTCGTTCCCTACACATATTTCTCAATGGATCCAGATGTGTGGCGGTTCGAAATTCCTGCCATTCAGACTGAGGTTGGGGTGACCAGATACTGGAAAAATTGGGACACTTTTTTCCCGGGGGAGGGAGGGGGGAGATTGACGGACGGCGGGGGATGTAGTTGCGTATATAAGACAAAGCCCCTAATACCGGGACAATCCCGATATTGTCAGGACGTCTGTTACCCTGACGTAGGATCTGTAGGTGTCTGCCTAGCTCAGTGCTCAGGAGGCACCTACAACAGGCATTTAAAGGCTGAGTGCTCAGGGATCTAGCCACTCACCTTCTTC